GGCTACTCGGAGGTTGCGACCGGAGAGTTTGGGGCTGGATTTGCTAGCTAAGATACGGAATCTGCGGGGATTTGGTTGGGATGAGAGAGATTTAGKTAGGGAGAGGGAATGGTGATTCTCTAATGTGGTTTTCCGGAGGCCAACGAAGCTATTAAGGGTAGCGCGTCGGAAATGGGTGGTTTTCCGGTCACAATGGGCGGTGGTGGTGGAAAATGGGGAGTTGATGGCAGTAGAGGACGCCATCCTTGCTGTGCTCTGGTCTGGTATCTGAAGTCTGGACAGAGTAAGTTCAATTCCACTGCATATTTCTAATTTCTTTCTTATGAGTGATGACATTTTGGAAATATGGATATGGTGTTCTGATATTTTGTGTTTTTCGCCGTTGGATTAAAGGAAATCGACGGGTTCTGTTGTTTGTGGATAATGCGATGGATTTCTTTTGTTCTACCCATTGTGCAGTTTACGTGCACGACCCATGAGCCACGAGGTAAAGCAGTAACAGAGTCACTGCTCGAAAAAACTTTGGCTGTTGGGGCCACATCTATGATCCGGATCACCTGCGAACAAAAATATGTTTCAATCTTCTGCGAATATGATCTTTCACCGCACATCTTATACATGGCGGATCCGACTTTATATTGGATCTCAGTCTTAACTGTAAAGTTTTAGATCAAGTTGATAGAGAATTGAAACTTGTTTTATTGGTAGAATATCTCAACTCGAACAACAAAGTTTTAAGTCATTGATTTCCAACTTTCCATTATCAGCTTTTAGGTACCATACTTGCCGGTTAATGTTATCCGGTTTTGACTTTTAATAGAGTAAGTAATTTGGGTGGCTACTATGGCGCCACGTGGGATCTCCTTTTTGTGGTAGCAACTGCTTTGGCTCTGTTAGAGCTATGTCTATGGTCCCTGGGAGATGGGACAGAATGAAGGACTCTGATCAGATACTCATCAGCAAAAGCCAGTGATTTTAAGCCATGTGTCTTTGTCTAATCTTGAATGAAATCGATCTCTTACCATCCGTCCAATTATCGTACAAAACTGATGGCCGGTGGGACGGACCCTATTCAATGGTGTTCACGAAACTCTTACGTTCATGTATTGTCAGTTTTTCTTGCCCGGTACGCAAGACAAAACCGCTATAGCCCAGATGTGTCAATTGGACTGGATTTAGTCCAATCCGATCCAATTCAATGTGAATTTTTTATATATAGACTAGGTTCAATCTAATATAATAATGAATATTTTGGATGGGTTTAATTCAATGTCTGAATCCATTGATATTTATATTGTATCTTATATAGATACAAATCTAATCCATTGGATGGGTTTAATTCAAATTTGTTTTAATTTAGATTGATTTCAATACAAATCATCTAAATCCATTGATATCTATATCGTTTCTTATATCAATAGACCACGTATTGGCTTAATCCAATCCAATTCAATAAAAATTTATTACAAATAGATCAGGTTCAATCCAATCTAATAAATATTTTGAAGCGAGTTGATCCAATCCAATATGTCTTGTTTGTCCGTCCAATTCGTCTAAGTTAATTTTGACCGGTCTATAAACACCCTTAACCGCAGCCCAGATCTAGTTGCCCGATTTGGACAGTTTAGGATTTGGATTCAGAGGTTTTTTTTTTTCAAATTTGCATTCTGTGCACCCATGGGTGCACCGGATGAGTGAATCAGTGAATCACTTTCGTCCACAAAAACCAGGAAAAGGAAAGCGTAATGTTAACAGTCAAAGTCTCGTTAGAATGGGTTCGGCGGTTGAACCGAACACTAACAATTAAACTATTGTTCGAGCAATGTCAAAGCCAGAGGTGGGCCTCTGTTGATTCCTATTTGATTGTTATAAAAGAATGCGCCTTCACGATGGAAAACTATTTTTTTAATACTAATCCCTTTTACATCTGATGTGGCGTAATCCGGCTGCTCCCTGCTGGAGATGATCTGACTACCAGTAATGACGAGAACTAGGTAACCTGCAAGAGAGGAGTCAGAGATCCCGGGGTGGCTTACCCGACGGGAACACTCCGATGGCTAAGTTAGTACTTAGTAGTAGTAGAGAATTTGAAGATGATATCAGAGAGTTAGAGAGCAAAGATTACGCATCATACCTTTACCCCTAGGGGGTGAGGTCCTTATATACCGGAGTCCGCACGGGTTTGGTGGAGTGGTTCCTGGATCCTCGTTGTAATGGGATCCGTTTGTGTGTTAGGTGGGTTAAATGCCACCAACTGGTAAGGTTACCCACCTCCGTCTGAATCGAGGAGTGGGTGAGCTAATGTAACTATTACAAAGTATGGTTTCGTAAGATGCGGGGTACGGTGGTGAGATCCTCGGGGTTGTCATGCGGAGGCCGACCTGACTAGGCAGCGAGCTGCCTGTGAAGCGCCGAGCTACTTGGTGGCGTGCCGACTAGTGGCGAGCTTCCTGAGCTCGTGCTCTTTAGATCCGACCTGATATGAATGCTGAAGTGCCTTGGGACCGAGGTGGTCCTGGTGTGACCTTGCGCCGAGGTATACTCGTCCCGAGGTAGTCTTGACCGAAGTGGTCCATCTGTCCGGGTTCGATCTGTAGCGGACTTGATATCGTTATTTTGGTTGCGATCTGATATCGGGGTGACTTTAATTCGGGGTATCAGGGTACCCGAGGTTGCTTTGTAGTGAACTGATCTGTCACTTGTGTTGAGTCACGTCCACGTGCCGATCTGATCATGTTGAGTTATCACTTATGCCGAGTCACGTTCACGTGTCTTCCTATTACGAGGTCGGGCCAAATTTCCCTTCATCAACATCGAATTGTAAAAGCCAATTACGTGCCCTATTGTCGAATTAAAGTTGCAGGAAAAAGAATAAGAAAATGAAAAAAAAAAAAACTGGAAGCTTTGAATAATTTCCGCCGAAGTCTTGCTTGCGCCCTGAGCTTTTGCATTAGGAACGAAGGTCATGTGCCGGAGAAGGCGCCGAGTAAACAATCAGGGCATACATGTTAATAAGATAATGCATTTGGCGAAGATATTGGTTCTGGTTTCGCATGATTTCATTTTCGTATCAATCGGTGACGGCGAGGACTTAGCTTCCTGCACGAGGTCTGACACAACAAAAGAAATAAAGAATCTCCAATACAGTCTTCAATGAGAGTTTAATATGAGAATAAATCAATGTATACAAAGAAGTCGGATGTAAGATTGAATCCAATTCGGTAAGACATTAAATTTATACTACTTTAAAAAGTACGAATGACCTGAATAATATTTTTAGAATTTTTTGAGGATAAAATTTACCCCACGCAAATAAGGTAATCGGTTATTCATATTAATTAAGTTGAAAAGAGATAATTTTAAGATATTCAATGTATTCAATTCCCTCTCATTAAATCCAACATTTAAGTTATTAATTTGCATTCATGTTCATTGAATCATATATTTAAGTCATTTTTGTTTCTTCTTAAGTTCTCATCATTAACTTCTATTAATTAAATCCATACTTAATAAATTAATAATTCCAATAACATAAAAGCTTATACTTTTAAAATCTACATAGAAAAAATAGTATTTTCATCTAGGTGGTAGTAAGAAATTAAATCATTTTGGGCCAAATGGGTCAATCCATGTTGCCACGATTAAATAATGAAATGAAAAAAAAATAGAAATTAAAAAAATTGGGAACAATTTTAATATACATATTAAACAATAATAAGTATGATTAATATGAAATGTTTTTATTAATGATGGAAATGAAATGTAAAATTTAATTGAAAATAAAAATATTTTCCTATTCTCTCTCATTAAATCTTATATTTAAGATATATTTTTCTCACCATTAAATTCTTGTAATGAAATCCATAATATTAATTTTAATAGTATAAAAATAAATATTTTAAAAAGTAATTTGAAAACAAAACCATTTTCTTCCCTCTCGGTGGTGAGCAAGCAATTCGGCCATTTGAGGTCAAATGGATTAATAAATAATTACATAATTAAATAATAAAATATAATAAAGTAAATAAGTATAAAATGTAAGAAGTATTTTTATTAATGACGAAAATGGAATACCAAATTTAAAATCTACCTAAAAATGAAATGATGTCATTAGGGGTGAGCAAGAAAGCCCAAAAAATTGAACCGAATAAAAAACAATCAAACCAATCGGTTCGGTTTTAGTTCGCTATTCTTAAAAAACCACAAATTTCGATTTCAATTAACCTTTTTGAAAGGACGATGGTTAACCGAACTGATTGGTATATATATACAGTAACATATATTATATATTATATTATATTATATATATTTATTATTTTTTAAAATCAAAATAAACCCACTGCCATTTGACTTTTTGAGTTTTCCCCCTTTCCTCTTCTTCGATACCTAAAGGCTAATACCAAAATTGAAAACCCTTGCTTTCCACTTGTTCGTCTTCCTCCCTAATTCTCCTTGCTTTCCTCCAGCGCCGATTGTCATCTTCCATCATTCAACATCGGCGTCGATCAACGGTTATCCTCCAATGGCCTCTCCCCCTCCCTTCATTGTTACGGCCATACCATAAGGCCAAAAACTAAGATATCTCTCTCTCTCCTATCATCTCCTCCGCTGCTCCGTGCCAACCACCAAGCGGCAACGCCGGTCGCTAGTTAAGACAAAAGTATGGAATTTGCCGATCAGATAGGAGAGAGCTTTAAATGTATTTATGACATTACTCCTCTAACATTTGGAATAAGAAAACAGCCTATACTTTAAGATAATGCACACGCAATGGGAAAAAAAAAAAAAAAGAAAGAAAGATTTCCTTTACTCTTAATCGCAAATCGGTTTTTTCTTTCTTGAGGGGTTAGAATGTAAGAATCGGTTAAATGGGCATCGAAAAATCATTCAGAAAATTTATTCCTTGCTAGAAAATTTCAGTTGTGTATCAAAAAAAATGTAAAAAAGCAAAGGTATATTACAATTTACTAGCGATTTTGAAGGTTGTAATTTGAACAAAGAACATGAAAAATACTCTTGCTTCAAAGAAAATTGAGCCAGGTGCATGAAGGCTCATTTGTAAGAAGACATGTATAGAACCCCCCCCCTAAAAAAAAAAAAAAAACTGAAATTTTATTTCCGTGAGTTTTAATTTGTAAAGTAAGAAAACCAGGGGATTAAAATTTGAGAGTGAAAATGAGATTCTAATTGCGGATTAAAACAGTATATAGCATCAGAGAAAACTCTGGCAGGAAGAAAGGGAATTGTGGTTTCGGTAAGGTGGGAAAATAATTGAAAATCCAAATTAAATTCAATGGTTAGATGATCTTCGATTGAGTTGAGTTGGGATCTGCTGCAAGAGCTGTGCTCCCGCCGAGAGAGGAGGAAGTGAGACACGAATCACTTTCGTCCACGTCGCCGGTGTGTGGGTAAGGTTTGGTCTCAAGGGGAAAAACATACAAGGGAAATACAAAATACGGTTTGTTGTTCCTTTTGATTTCCATTTTGTCATTTTGCGGCCGGTTTGTGTTCGTTTGAACCGCCAAATCCGTCTTAACGGAACTTTGACTGTTAATGTTACGCGTTCCTTCCCCTGGTCAATGTGGACGAAAGTGATTTGCGGATCACTGTTCATGGGTGCATAAAACGCGAGCTCTTTTTTTGGGGTAAATTGTTGAAATTCCCCCAAAGGTTTTTTATTGTTGTTGAAACCTTTCCTGAAATTTGGTAATTACAATCATTTTCCTTAAACTTTCTAACTATTTGCAAATAAACTTTTTTTATTAAAATCCTTTAATAAAAGGCGTGTAAATGTTCAAAATGCCCATACAGTTACTATAAAAACTGGTTTCTACAGTATAAACTATACAAGTTTTACAAAAAAAAAAGTTTAAAGTTGCAGTTTTGCCTTTGGGATTGAGATTGATCTAAAGAGAAAATTTGAAAAATAAACAATTTGGTCGAAGTAATTACATGGATGTTTTGAACATTTTCGTGCTTCCTATGGAGGATTATAACAAAAGGGGTCTATTTGAAAATGTGTCAAAATGTTCAGAGGAGGTGATTGGAATTACTAACCTTCAGGAGAAGTTTCAATAATGGTCCAAAACTTTAAGGGAGGGTTTAGAAATTTACCTTTTTTTATTTATTTTTCATGGGGTGACTAATCGGGATCTACCAACCACAAATTATTGGTCATGCTCATCCAGTTATACATCTGAAACACTTAACATCACCAATATTCTCAACATGTGGCTGGATGAGCGTGGCCAGCAATTGTTGTGGTCAGCAGATCAGAATTCCTCCTCCTTAAATAACCCCCAGCCTTGGTGGCAGAAACATTTGATCCCAGGTCTTTGCTACAATATGTCAGAGATTCTACCACTTGAGTCATGATCAATTGATGTTTGGGTTTGAACTTGAGATCTATTGAGAAATTTGCATTGGGACTGTTCGTACTTTTTCGTAAAATTAATCAGGTGTAGTACAGAAACTCCAAACCTGAAATGCACCAACAATTTAGAATAGCGAAACAGGAGGACATTTACTGTTGGATTTTAGTGATAGGTCGTTGTCGGTAGGTTGAATTTGTAAGGGTTAGTTCATCCAACTCCCTCTACTCGATCCACTCCCTCCTATGACCTATCTCTGATTAACATGTAAATTCATAGTCCACCATGCCAACAGCCAATCTATCACTTTGAAGAATTCTTCTCTTTGCACGACTACAACCTATGAACTTGCCAAGTTTTATAAGTTGCACTCGGTTTCTTCTGAAGCAACCATAAAATTGAGGAGCCTGCATTAGCTTCTCTACATGATGAGGATGATGGTAGTGATCATGACGATTGTAGTAGCCTTGGGGATAGTTAGCAGGCAAGGTTCTTGCACAATTGTCCAATTCATCTTTGGGGATTCCCTCTCTGATGTTGGAAATAATAACTACCTCTCCAAGAGTCTGGCTCGAGCAAGTCTGCCGTGGTATGGTATCGATTTTGGAAATGGAATGCCCAATGGAAGGTTTTGTAATGGTCGAACTGTTGCTGATATCATAGGTATTTTTCTTCTTTTAATTTTGTTTATAACATTTCCTATTTATGTGTTAATTTAAGTACTCTTTCCTCTTCAACTGATAATTAATTAAGCTTGTGAATTGTGATATGTGTCTTAAATTAGGTGACAGGATGGGTCTCCCAAGGCCACCAGCATTCTTGGATCCATCTTTGAATGAGGACATCATACTAGAGAATGGAGCCAATTATGCCTCTGGTGGTGGTGGGATATTGAATGAAACTGGTGGCCTTTTTGTAAGTTGTACTACTAGCTTGGAGCCTTGGACCATTTCTCTTTCTATAGATCCATCTACATGGAGTTCTTATAGCTTTTTCTTCTTTTTCGTTTAATTTGATCTACATGCAACAAATTATATTAAGCAACAAAAGGCTTCTAATTAATTAGCTTAGGTAGCAATTAATTAAGTTAAAAAGTTTTCTCAATCGAACGCAGGTGCAAAAGTTTTCACTGTATAAGCAAATCGAATTGTTTCAAGGAACACAAGAGCTAATAAGAAACAAAATCGGTGCTGAAACGTCAGATAACTTCTTCAAAGAAGCAAGCTATGTGGTTGCTTTAGGCAGCAATGACTTCATTAACAACTTCTTGCTCCCAGTTTACAGAGATTCATGGACGTATTCCAATGATGGCTTCATTCAGTATCTAATCACAACTTTGGGAAATCAATTGACGGTAATAAAAGCAATGAGACCCACTGCAAATCTGCAATATTTATTTATTTTTGTTTTAAGCCAAGACACATATTCATGGGCATGATGATGAGCACAAATTAATTTGTTGAGTTTTTTTTTTTTTTTTTTTTCTTGACTAAAAGAAACGGTGTGTTTGGATTTGATTAATGTACAGATATTGCATGGGTTAGGGGCTCGGCAGTTGATGGTGTTTGGGCTAGGGCCCATGGGTTGTATTCCTCTGCAACGCGTGCTAAGCTCATCAGGGAACTGCCAAGAAAAAACCAACAATCTGGCCATCAGCTTTAACAAAGCAGCGGCCAAGCTCTTACAGGAACTGTCCAGCAATCTCCCCAACGCAAGCTTCAGATTCGGGGATGCTTATAATGTAGTTGATGATGTAATTAAAAATCCAGACAAATACGGTAGGTGTAAGTGTAACGAATTTGCTCTTCTCCACGTTGTCGTTGCGTGCCTACTGCCTAGACTAACACCTAAGTTTACATCCTTTACCAAAAACACTTTAGTCTGGACTCTGGACTCTGGACTCTGGATGGAGTGAAAAGTGCCACATTGGGTTAGTGGTCTACCATGTTCTTCAATATTATACGATATGGACCTTCTAACTTGAACTTATAAGGTCTAAGGAAACACAACACAGTTATTAGGGGGGTGATCATGGGCAGGGCCTGGCCGGGCTTACCACCTGTCGTAAGGGTTATAGCCTGGGCCGCATCTTCCTGGGCCTGAACATAAAATCTGGGTACTAAGCCCACAATTTTCAGGTTGGGCTGGGTTGAAAATGATCACCCCTAAGCCCTAAAGTGGGAGGAGCTTTGAGAATTGGAAGAAAGGAGGATGCCTGGATGGGAATATTTGAAGGAGAAGCCTTTCAATCTGAGGTCTTTGGTGTAATATATTTATATTAGGTGGTGGCGAAAGTTGTAAATATTATCATGTCTTGCCTATGAATTAAACCTTTTTTCAGCATCTTTTCAATGATGGATGATCACATTCAATTCCATGTTAATTTTCAGGATTTGAAAATTCAGACTCTCCATGCTGCTCATTTGGACGGATCCGACCTGCTCTCACTTGTGTCCCTGCATCAAGGTTGTGCAAAGATAGAAGCAAATATGTGTTCTGGGATGAGTATCACCCCACTGATAAAGCAAATGAGATCATCGCCAACGAGATCATTAGAAAGCTCGGATTTGTGCACGTCAACACCACATCATCACAAGGGCCAGCTCTTGCTCCTTCCTCATAGGGATTGGTCATTGGTGATCGATATTTATATAGGATATGTATTTTCTTAAAAAAATTATACAGGATATGTCTAGTTTTATTAATTATTAGCCGTCAACTTTATGACACAGCTGATACAAAAACTTGCCTATGAAATCAACATATCCTTAGTGCCTAACATTTTAGAAGAAATGGATACGTACCACAGGCCACACCCTGCATGAAAATTAGTGTTTAATTTGGTTCCAATCAATACTATGTATTAATTTATGGCTTCTGAAGACTTGTTTTCTCGTTAATTATTGTTGTAATGTATGACATTATATCGAGGAGGAACAAATGAGGGTAGGACGTACGTAGGAGGAGAGCAGAGCAATTTAAAATGGGTGACGACGACGTCTAATACTCAGAATTTAGTTTGAAGGGCTGAGGTGGAGTGACAGATGCCAGTTTGCCACGTTGGATTAGGTGGTCTGCCATGTCCTTTTGTTCCATTAATTACTAGTACATGTATTAAGTTTACGATAATAAATATAATATATATTGTGGTATATATTATTATTAGATTTTTTAAATGAGGGGGTGATTCAATCGGTTCTATGGCTAGATGACACAGAGCTATCTAAGCCCCTCCTCTAAAGTCTTAACCAACTTGTCATCTGTTGTTTGTTCATGGGACATATTGAGACCCACTAACATGACAACATATGATCAAATGATCAGTTTAACCATTTACTGGGTATTTGCCAAAATTTATGATTGTGTAAATCAATATGATTTTTTTTTTTTGGTGAAAACCCCTTTATCTTTCATTAAAATCCCAGTGTTTCTTGAACTAACAACTAGATAGAACTTTTCGTTTGTTGAAATAATACAAGATAATAAGTTTTTAAGCTGGTCATTGGTCGATTAACCTCTTAAACGAGGCCCCCTCTTCTATAAAAATGAGAAGAATATATAATCAATTTGCATTTTGAACATTTTAAGCAATTAAATACATAAACTTGAATAATAATTTATCTAAGAAAAATTTGCAGAAATAGGATCGGTTTTACCATTCTTATAATATTCAACACGACAACACGTACAGTTGAATATTATTGAGCAATTGTTGCAGTTTGCACAAGAAAAAAAGGGTGAAATTAATGTTGCAAAGTAGGTGAGCTGACTGATCAACTTCAACGCCAATACCTTGGAGATCATTACAAGGCCATCTTGTAGTTGTAGTATGCTTTGTTGTGGACCTTGCAGTGTCTTGTATGAACTATGGGGTGTCTAAACTATGAAAAGTTTCAAATACACCCCCCCAACTTTTTACATGTGTACGTACAAAATAACTTAGTCTTCAGTTAAGAAAATGGTCACGTGTCATCATGTGACCAGTTTTTCAAAATACCCAGATTACCCTTTTAAAACATCTTTTTCCCTGTGTTTGATTGTAATGCAAATAAATTTGCACTGATGCCAAACTATGGCAGTGCAAATGATTTGAGTGTAAATTTTGACTTATTTTTGTTTCAAATGTTAGGTTATTTTATTTGATTATTACAAATGAAGTAAATTAAGACATGAATCAGAATAAAGTAATAACGAAAGCAAAATTAAATGAGATTTTGCATTTATATTTTATTTGCACTCCCATGCATTTGTACTAGTGCAAATAAAATTGCACTGCAACCAAACACAGCCTAAAACTCAGTTTGGAAATAGTAAAAATACAAATATGTACAATACAAATCCTTATATTTTGTATTTCTAAACCTGTATCTGTTTCCAAGCTGAGCTTATAACTTCAAAAAATGGTTTCTTTTTGAACAGAAGTATTTGTATGAGTTTTTAGCTTATCATCATATGACTTTTACAGCGATAGTATGGCCTGTACACCCCCTAGCCCCTACAGACCTGAGAATCAAGATCAATGACTTATTTCAGTGAAAATATAGAAATAAAAGAGAACAAAACCCTGTCATACGTAACCAAACAAATGGGGGTAATACGGGCTTAACATGTGAAAGNGGGGGTTAACATGGTTCAGGTGGGTTTTTGGAATCTTTAATTTGTGAGTGACCGAGTTCTACTACGTACTTGCAGTTATCATTTTTATCATTTATCAATGAAAAAATGGATCAAATTAACCTCTCATGTGATGGTGGGGTGTCCATTGTCCAATCTCCTGCTGGATTCCGATTTCCGACCCAAGATAAAATTGACAAGTGACAAATAATAGTTAGAAGCGGAAGAGATCGACCCAGTTAAGACTCAAGATGAGATATGCACGAAACCACTCAAATGGGTGTTGTTGACCTAATTCTGAGCAATGGGGTTTTCATACATCTTGAATAAGAGATTAATTTATATTTGAAGGGTTTTGAGAGGTTCAGAGGGCATCTGAGATGGGATCGTAATGAAATGATTGCAGTGAGAATTAAATTAATTATAACCGTTAGGTGACAAAAGTTTGTTGTCCGGTGAATATAACAAATTGCGGCAACACCAGAAAGGAGAGGGTGAGAGGAAATTACAAAGAAGCCGTGCTCAAGTCAAAAAAAAAGAAATTTTTAAGAAAAGATGTCTAACAGAAGAGCAACAACAGCAGTTAACTATTTGCACAAGTTAAGATTCTAAAACATGTTTAGAGACAGGTGGCATTGTTTTATTGGGTTAGTAGAGCGGATTGTATAATTGAATTAATAGGAAATCCAAACTGTCTTTAACAGGGAAATTTCTGCAAAAGGAAGAGGTGTTCTACAGCATCAATGTTTTTGTTTTCAAAATTGCCACATCAGCAAATTTAAAAAAATAAATAAATACACCCATGCCTTTGTTTGGAAATTAAAAAACAAATAGTTTTTTTTTTTTGTTTTAAAAAAGAATACATGTTTTTGAAATCATCAAAATAAAGGTTCTTATAACAAAAGCAAATTTTACAGTAGAGAAATTATGTGATTTATGAAATATGATGCTAATAACTAACCAGTTGAAAAGATGTTCTTTAAACCAAAAATTCAAGAACCATTTTTTTTTGTGCCGGTTTTGGAAAAAAAAAAACACATCTGAAACAAGAATATGTTCGTTGTGTTTTTGTTCTAAGGACCAATTTGTTTTAAACCGGTTAATTTTGTTTTACTTTAAAACAATTCACATTGGTCCCGAAATTGTTGGGTGCCAAATGATTGTAGCCATAGGATTGGAATCAACATATTGCCCTCTATTCCCAAGATTAGGGATTCAAACGGATCAGATCAGATTAGATTTGGGTATATCCGAATCCGATCTGATCCAATCTCACAAAGGTCAATTTGAATTTAAATCCATTAAGGATGTTGGATAAAAAAAATACTATATTATAAAAAATTACAAAAACACAATATAAACATATCTATACTATATTATATAGCGATATAGGCCACGTCAGCAACCCTCTCCTTGATCCATTACCCAATCTTGGCTTCTCCTTCTTCCCTTACCAGTTACCCCTTCCCAACCCGTCCATGTAGACATGTGATAGCCCTCTCCTCTTTACTAGAGTTCCCACTCCAACTCCTTTTCTCTCATCTTCCTAATCACTTAGCCAATACCCTCCTAAAATTTCTCCTAAGTTATTTCTCCCACCTAAAATTCCTCCTAAAACAGCTCTTAACCTATCTTACATGCCCAATCTAGCCACATGGCACCACTATCCCCTACTTTTTCCTTAATTATCTCTAATTCCTATTTATCCTCTCCCCCACTTTTCATCTATATCTATCTAAAGAAAGTTTGAATTAAAATTTTTAATAATTATTTAAATATAGTAACAAAATAATGTAATAACTTTAAAATATTTATTAAAAACAAAAAAATCTAATAGATTTAATAGTGTTCCGATTATTAATAGTTTTATACTTTTATGAAATTCATAATGAAATAAATTATAATTTTATGAATTAAAATTTTCAGTAACAAAATTATTTAAATAATAAAAATTAAAATATTTAACATATTATTTAAATATTTCAATAACTAAATATTTTAAATAAAAATATTAAAAATAGCTAATTAATTATATACAAAATATTTAATATTATGTAATAACTTCAAAATAAATAAAATTTAAATATTTTATTATATTTATTTTGTAATTATTGTCTTTTTATTATTTATTTATTTATTAATTTTTGTTATAAATTTATTTTCAATAATTGTGTATTTTTCTATAAATTATCAATAATTGTTAGAGATTAAACTATTGTTGTTTTTCTATAAATTTATTTTCAATAGTTGGGTTAGATTGGTTGCAAATTATTTGGCCAACCAAACTGACTTGGTCGGGTGGGGAGTTGGTCACTCAAAATTGACTGATCAATAGTGATAACCAGCCAATTCTAGTTGTATCAATTTGGGTTAGTTTTTTGTTGGGTCAGTTTGTTCAAAAGATTTAAACATAAAAAATTAAATTTAAATTAAAAAAATTACAATGGTATTATTGAAAAAATAAATTAGAAAAATTAAATTTACAATATAAAATATTTTAGATTAAGAAATATGGGAATTTTTCTACTTTACCATATTAAAAAATTATATTTAAAATATAAAATATTAATATATATCTATGATCGGGTCAGTTTGATTTTGGTCGGTTTACAAATGGCCAAACCAAAATTGACCAGACTTGATCGGTTTGGGAAATTGGTGAACCAAAGCTGACTGAAAATACTAGAAAAACCAACCAACTCGGGTTGAGTTGGGTCGGGTTGGTCGGTTTCATTGGTTTGATAAATAGTCCTAGCTGAAATTAATTATTATTTTTGTATTTTAAATATTATTAAAAGTAGTATATAAAATATAAATAATTATTAATTATTTAAAAAATTAAAATATAAAACAATTGTCTACTTTTATATGTTTTTGTTGTTTAACTTTCGCTTAACAAAGATTGTACATCGCACGGGTTCCTACTAGTTTATAAATAAAAAAAGAACTATAGGATAGGATTGTATCAAATTCTTTGGATTGGATAGGGGTTATCTGAATTCACTTCAATTTTTAATTAGGTCATATTATTCAATCCAAAAATCCAACATGGGGGTATCCGTGTCCCAAAAAATAGGATTTAATTTGAATAAAAACCAAATCATGATCTGGTTCATTTGTACCCCTATTCATAAGACAGAATTTTGGTAATAACTCTCTTCAGATTCCAATTTAATGGCCTAAAGCATTTTTGCACTTAAAAAAGGTGTTTTATGGAAGATTCCCCCCTCCCTTATGGCCCAACTACCACATTCACAAAAAAAGATGCGAAAAAGTCATTTTAGTTGAAATGATGGAAACAACAAGGCATCTAGCTAGGAGTGGACAAATCAAGCTATTTGCATGTGAACCAGTCAAGCTCATCTCACAAAGTGGTTAATTTGACTTAGTCTAGATTGAACTTAAAATTGTACTCGAGCCTAATATAAGTGAGATCAAAGAGTATGAAGCAGGATATCTATGTCATTTTAGAAGTTTATTTATTTTGTTAAGACATAAGTATATGGTCCCTTGATTAAGATTTACTATATATATATATATGTGTGCAAGCCAACTTATAATTTTGGGAACCATATTATTTTATTATTTTATGGAGCCTCCGCTCTCGACGCCTCTAGAAATGTATCAATTCTTTTGGCCTTTTTTGCTTGGATAGAGTATGACGGGTCCCCCATATATGGGCACATTTGATTTTTGCAAACAAAGTGAAAGATTCCTCTAATCTTGTCGTTTTAGAAAATTTATTTATTTGCATTTGCAACCTAGCCCAACGTGTCAACATTTAGAGTTACTAGCGAGTTATGATTTTTTTTCCCTTCTTTGTTTATTTCTTTTTGTACTTAAAAATTTGTTTGGCTTTTGAAGTGTATTTAGAAGAAGAACAAAGGGTTGGAAGGAGAGGCTGTGAGAGCAACAGAAGTATTAAGGGTCATAATAAGGAAGTCCATAGTGATATGTCATGGTGGAAATATAGAAAGTTCCTATGGACTCAGCCCCCAGTAGAAGACCCTAAAGACCTCAAGTTGTTTGTCAAACTTACCAAGGAACTCCGAAAGATAATTAACATTGTATTCCAATTACCCATAAGGATCTATTTTCAGGTGGCCCCTCATGCCTCAGCAAGCTTAATCTGGCATTCAATGTGAATGCAAACAAAAGCAAATATATGTATATACTGTAATGAAATGGCATATTTAATTAGTCTTGTATTTGTTATATCTTTGTATGCAGAAGTTAGTCATCCTTGGGGATCTGCAGAAGAGATGTTAGTTCAGGAGGAGGATTCCAATTGAAGAGTCCCAGAGAGTGGAGATCAACTTCAGTGAGAACGACCTTAATTAGACTTGTGGCCAGGGCGCTCAAGATGTCCATGATTTCCAATGCTCAACTCAAATGGTGCCAAGACAAGCTCAACAACATAGAGTTCAAAGATGGAAGAGTTGTGAGAGTTTGCACTGACTGCTTATTTCCATACTCGTAACCATGAAAGGCCATTACCCAATGTTAGTCCAGGCTCTCTCTCTGGGGTCTTGCGAGGGATCCACTGGTTGGCCTTTTTCTTGTTTCTAAAATGGCCAGTCTCTGATTCGAACCCGCATATTCACATTTGACAGCTTGAGATTTTACCATTATATCAAGCAATGGCCTCTATACTCTAAACCATGTCTATATCAAAATCCTGCTTATGGATTTTCATCCATACTGAAGTTGGATTAATTGACTAAAAAAGTGTATAGTTATTCATGTCATTGAATAAGAGTTATTTAATGTGTCTAATTTGTTCATTTCTCACTTTTTTTTTCTGATTGAGAAGAGTGATGGCTCTGTCTTCTTGATGGGCAAACCAACGGTGCAGGTAATAAAACGACAAAAGGTCAGTTCTTTAGTTTTCCGTGTGTGAATCTGATTGATGCAATTGCCAATCGAACTGGACCAAAATTTCTAATGGGCTTTTCCTGATGGGCTGTGCAATTCAATAATTCACATGAGCATTCGCCATCACTAGACACTACTACTGCAACTTCACCAAATATGTTATCACTTCACTACTTACTAGTGACGATAACTATTCTTTCGAACGATCGGGTTTTTAGGATGCATTTGATACTTCTTATTTTAACGATTTATCTCCTTTTTACAATTAAAAATTCAATGTTCATATTTTAAAGGGGATATTTTAACAGCAAATAGGAGATAAGGCTGAGTTTGGCATTCCTTATTTAAGGACTTATCTACTTTTTACAGTTAAAAAACTCAATGAGATAAGTCCTAAAAATAAGGACTGCCAAATTCAACCTAATAGCAATTCTTATATTCCCCTAATATTATTCATGGGCTTCCAAATTTATGGGCCAGGCCCAGTAATGACCACGGTGCCATGTAAAAGAAGACGGTGCTCTGGTCTCTGCTTCCTCGGTTTTTCCACGTGTTTCTTCTGGAGTATTTACTATTGTTGGGGTTTGATGTCGGCCGCTCGTTCCGTAATCCGAATATCTGGCATTAAGTTATTGTGCAAATCTCAACCAATCTCAACCTCAAAATCTCCATGATTTTCCAATCAGTGGGGTCCATTGTAACAGAATTCAACAGTGAATAATACCTTTAACACCAACAACTGTTTTCGCCCGTCCTCCATGGTTTCTTGCTCCTCCATTGCCAGTTCCAACTCACACCTCCATTGCCTCTGCTTATGTACTCTGCAATCTCCACATTTTCACTCAACTGTGTATCCTTCAAACTTGTTATCCCCAATTAGCTTCGTCGTAATTCTCAAAGCCCTCTACTGCTTTCTGTTTAACCTTCATTTCATCATCTGGGTTTCTTTCAGTCTCCATTTGGCTTCTTAGGTTTTCATCAAGTCCTCAAATCTTGTTAGGTTATCACAAACACTAAGGCAAACACAAGAATGACTTCTTTTCTCTCTCTTTCTTTACCGGTGGAGACTACGATGGAAAACTCTATTCTACCTCGGCTTCGCTTTGTTTCTTCCTCCCCTCGAGGAAGATATTCTCTTAATTCTGGTTTAAACAACTCAAAATTTGGGTTTCCCAATGCTGTCGAAGGAGAAGCTTTTCCCGGGTTAGCTTGCAATTGGAAGAAAATGCTAAATGTGTATGGTAGAGCGAAACCTCGGAGGAGTAACTGCACGAGAGCGGTGGGAAAGGACTCTGTAGAAGGAAAAGATAGTGATGATTCGGTGGATACTCTTCAGGCTACAATAGAGAAGAGCAAGAAAGTTCTTGCTATGCAAAAGGATCTACTTCAGCAGGTATTTCTTTATTTTTCTTTTATTTGATACAAAACAGGTATTTCTTTTCTTCTTTCTCTTATTTGTGGAAAGCACCTCTTTGAAGTGGAAATTTTCTTTTGTTTACATTCATTGCATATTCTTGTTGATGCTTTCGAGTATAATCAGCCTATACTGTTTTCAGTTGAAATCTTTATTTAAAAGGGCAGCCCAGTGTACGAGGCTCCCGCCAATGCGGGGTCTTGGTAGGGACAGATGTACGCAGCCTTACCTCTGCACATACAGTACAGCGAGGCTGTTTCCAAGATTTGAACCTTGGTCACCCACTTGAAATCCTCATTTACTAAAACTTAAACCTCTCTTCTAGCCTCCTAGGTTCTTTTGTTCTTTTTTTTTTTTTCTTTCTTTTTGTCATTTCTTTACTTTTTCTCATGAACTGAGATCTCCTGCAAAGTCTTCAGGCTAGAATAAATCAATGAGTTGAATGGTAGTTTGCCTTTTTGCCTTGCCCATATAATTAGAACCACTTTAAAGATAACTAGCAAGGGGCGCCTGTGCTCAGCATGGGCGAATAATGCTGAGTAATTGGGAGAATAAAAAATAAAGAAAAAAAATAATAAAAGTTCTGGGGATTCAAATCCCGGTCTCTGCTGGAATGAACAAACTAATATATAGAAGATATATATTACATAAAAAGAGAAGAAAATAAAATGAACAATTCCTCCCACACAGAAATGCAATATTCATTACCGAAAGCATGGAACAAATCGAAGACAACAGGCTTCTAAACCTAGACATCTAATGTTATTGATCTAACCTACAGTTGATAGGACAAGCAATAGCTAAAATCAGTGGTTCTCAATCTAGTGTATGCAGTGTTCACAATTGGCAAGATTTTGTAAACTCCTGTTTCAGAAATTGGGCCTAATATAAAGTATGATTGAATTACAGTTACTGCATTGGATAGACCAAGTGAGTCATCATCAGTTACAGATTGTAGTGCATTTACAATAAATGAAAATGAATTCCTTTCATTAAATTGCACTTAACAAATAAATAATGAGAAAACAAAGTCAACCTCATCCATTCATGAGAAGGCATCAGCACAAAAGGAGAACATGCGACGCAACAGGTAGCTGAAAATTTATGGGTATAAAGATCAACAGGGATGGGTAGAGTACAAAATTCATAGGCCCATTCCAACAGCTTCCACCTCTTATTTATAAACAGCTCTTGAGTATGAGTATGAGTCAGCTACTTGAATCCAACAGCTATTGCAGATTCAAAATAGAACGAGAAGATGAGTATGGATCCACTACATGAATCCAACAACAATAAACCTTTTTCCTCAAATCACAAACTAAGAAACCTAAAATATTTAGTGTTAGGGTGCATTTGGTAAATATGTGGCCAAAGAACTTTGGTCTCTTGCAAGATCAAAAGACAAAAAGATGACATTTCACATTTGATAAGAAAATTTCAGCAGATTTTTGTGCTTCTAAAGCTAACAATATAGAATTCCTTTAAACATGAATTTCAAAGAGTTCAACAAATCCAAAATAACAATATAGAAAGAGTTAGCAATGATTCCTATGGAAATTACAAAGGTTACATAACAAGAGCTTGACCAAGTTTTTGAATACTCAAAGAAAGAGGCACTATATTATATCTGCAATCCTCAATATGCCTCCTAACAAAGTGGAAGACAACAGAAAAATTATTTTGAGTCCAAGAATAAGTGCATGCTATAAATAATTAAATCTCAAAAGGCAACAAAATAACAAAATATCTCAAAACAAAGAAATAAAGTACATGAAAATATTAACTGATGATGAACAAGAAATTAGCACATGGTTTGGGAAAACTAAGAAATTGCCTAAAAAAATAACATCAATTATTTATCACATACTACTTGCAGTGTAGACTACGAAATTAGCACATGTGTGTGTAAGGTGCGGGCATTTATTTCTGCATAGCCTGCTCTGTGTTTCTTTGTATCATATCATACGAAATCCTACTTTATTATGTAAATGGGTCGGGGCCAAGTAGATTCACTGCTCCAATCTATGGAGATGATGATAGAGATACTTCTATATACTTTTTATAAGGTCAACTGATTATCCAGTTATGAAGGCCAAATGATACTTGTTTCTACTTCTATTGAATACCTGGTTTTAACTTCCTTATATGTATCCAGATTGCAGAAAGGAGGAAACTTGTTTCATCTATTAAAAATATCAAACTCAACATTGAAGAAGATTTAGACTCTTATAATGGGACTGATAATTCGTTTCCAGTACAAGATCTTGCTTCAACTGTTGCTGGCAGTACTAATGGAAAATATGCTAATGATATCCATTCCAAGAGCTACACCCAAGCAACTGCAGTTGGGATGTCAGAAACCCCAGATGTTGATATCAATGGAAGTTTTAGTGAAGAAGAGCAGGGAAATGGAAGAAATTTATCTCCTGAAAAGGTTTCTTTAGATATAGATTCCTCCAAAGAGTTCAAAGAAACTAGTTCAACAACAGTTCAGTCTGATACAGTGCCATCGTTTCTATTGAAAACCTCTAAGTATGATCTAAAAGATGAAAGCACTGAGGAGTTGGTAGAATCAAGTTTAGAAGATGATGTAAGCAGTGAAGCTAATCTAGTTTCTGAGGATGAAACTGTAAAGACACCTCCTTTGGCTGGGGCTAATGTCATGAATATCATATTGGTAGCTGCAGAATGCGCTCCTTGGTCAAAGACGGGTATGTTTCTAATAAGAACTCTGAAACAAATTCCACATATGAAAGCAACTTATTTTAAGGATAGTTTTGCTTCTCAGATCACGTTCTGTTGAGTCTGAATCTGGTCCCAACACAGGATCCCAACTCCCAACAGCCATTACAGCTGTAAATCAGGAGCATCTCGCCATGAAGGACAAAGGAGATGTTCCCAATGCATGGCTGCATGGCTGTTTGGACCAGATCCAAACTCCATTCTGTCACCCTTGTACCAGAAAATAATAGTTTGACTTTTTTTGTTTTCAAATTTTATTTTGTTATACATAAAAGGAAAATTGTCTATACTTTCTGAGTGATTCTTTTATTCTGTACTTTCAAGTGCAATTCATTTCCCCAAGAGTGGGGAAATTGAATGTAGTCACTGGGTGAACAGTCAAATGTCTTTTGATTGTATGATTCAGGCACCTCAGATGCTCCCCCACCCTTCACTAGGGCTGTCAATGGACCAGATTTTGGTCCAACTTAAGCCGGTTCAATATAAGTCCATTAGGGATGGGCCAGGTCCAATCCAATCTGATGAATGCTTTGGACCATTCTGGACTGGTCAAATTCAATGTCTGGACCGTTCAATCTGTTCAAGTTGGCTTTAATTTAGACCGGGTCCAACCCAAACCTGGTTCATTGACATCTGTACTCTTATCTTGTGTCAATGGACCAGATATTGGTTCATTCTGAACCAGTCCAATATAAATCCATTACAGATGGACCAGGTCCAATCCAATCTGTTTGGACCATTAAGTCTGCACTGGTCCAATTCAATATGTCTTATTGATCCGTCCAACCCATTCAAATTGACAGGGTCCAACCCAAACCTGGTCCATTGACACCCCTACCCCCACCCTCCCACACACACATGCACACATTTCATTTGTTCATGTGGAAGATCCTATTGGCCAAAAATTGGCATCTGGAAATCCTATTTGACATATTACATATTTTGGTTGTCAGAAAGATATGACTAATAGAGCAGTAAAACAATAAGAGGAAAATGCTCAATTGGTAAGATTGTTAGTACCATACAATCAATTCAACTTTTGACCTGAGTATATCTGTAAAATATGATTCATCGTGTTGTTAATTTGACCCCATATGGTTTTTCTGTTGGTCTTTTACCTGCTTTTGGTTGCTATTCTTTATAGGATCACTATATAGTTTTCTCTTTCTCTTCGGTTGCTTAATATAATTTTATTTTGCACATGCTGAAATCAGACAAGAGGAAAAAAATTCTTTTATGTTTGATCTAGAGGCTGATCTTAAAAGTTCTGTTAGGTGGGCTTGGAGATGTTGCTGGGGCTTTACCAAAGGCTTTGGCTCGGCGTGGACATAGGGTTATGGTAATTTTATTTTATATTCCATGTGATTTCTAAACATGAGATTCTTGCAGTAAATTAAAAAGAGACCTTTTTTCACACAATTGAACATTTTCAGCACAAACCAGTTGAGTCAGCCAGCTGAAAGCTTCCCTCTTTTGCTTGTATAAAATTGGGTGGAGCATATCTATATTGTAGTATGCTTATTCTTGTACTAAACATTACATGGATACTTGTTAGTTTTAATTCTCAAGGTTGCCTATAATCTCCTATTTGAATAAAATGGTTCTTTTTTAAGAATCTGACGGTTTCTTGTTTATTTTCTCAACATACTGAAATTGTCAAGACTTGTAGCCTTTCTAATGGTTAATTTTTAGGATCTAACAACTAGTTCATAACTGTTGAGTTTCCTGTCTGATCACCTCAGTTCTTAGAAGCTCAAACAATTGAGAGCTAATTAGTTCCTTGTTAAGTTAAACCAAAAGAAAGTGCATTGATTAATTATTGTTCTTATTTTTCTTGCGTCAGGTTGTGGCACCACGGTATGGTAACTATGCTGAAGCCCAAGATATAGGAGTTCGCAAGAGGTATAAGGTGGATGGACAGGTGCGCTTCAGCATCACTCAGCTACAACTTGACTTTTATATGGTGTTGTAACTATTGTTTTCAAGGAACCAACGTGAATAGATATGGATTCATCAAATGTAATGAAAAAATGGTTGAATCCCTTGTTTTTCTCAATGTTGTAGAGATGCATAGAAGGGAAAAAAAAGCAGCCTTGGCCTAGAGAGATATAGATAGGGTTAAGCACCTGATCTGTTAATATGTGGGGCGGGGGGNCCTCGTTTTTGAGTGGACAATCAAAGGCTATTTGCCACCCTAGACTGATTTTAGGGGTGGATTCGAGCCAAGTAAACCTGAATATCTAGCTATTCGAGCTCATCTTGCTAAAACAGATGAGCTCGATTTGAGCTAGAGACTTGAGCTCGAATTCGGCTTGGCTCGAGCTCGACTATGAGCCAAATTTCCTATAAAAATAAAAAAATTATACATATAAAAATAAAAATGTTAATCATGGAAAAGCACCTTATTTCCTCGTCATCACCTAGTACCCACCATAGCAACACCTTGACAACTACTTGTAGCTTTGTAATGACTTCAATTTTATTACAAGTGTGTGAAACCTTTCAACCATGCAGGATGTGGAGGTAAATTTCTTCCAAGCCTACATTGATGGTGTGGACTTTGTTTTCATGGACATCCCTATGTTTCGCAATATTGAGAACAATATATATGGGGGAAGCCGAGAGGTAACAAATGTGCATCCTATTGATTGCCTGATTCTAAGATAAAGTTCATTACCATTTGATTTTAACTTTAGTTAAATGTGTATTTTTAATTTCTTATGACTTCTAGTCATCAAGATGGAAAATGTTAGTTTAAATTCTTAGTGCAACAAAGTGCACAGATGTCAGTCATACATGTGGAATGGGTAGAGAGGGGAATATCCAGAATTTGATACCTCTTTGTAAAGAATATCTGGACTAAAATATATCTAAATCCATGCCTGTAAGACATGAACTATGACATCTAATCTCTCTCCCTGAACTATGCATGTAAGACATTCATGCCCTTCCAGGATTGTAATTGATTGCACAGTTATTGTCAACTGTCCATTTGATAGCAGTAAGAGATTTTATAGGTTGAACATGTCAACTGGTGGGTTTCTGTTATCAACCACTTCATACAAATATGTACAGTGCAAAACCTTGAATGTGGTATTTCTAGACCTTGTATTTGCACTGTACATATTTGTATTTGCATTCCTCCTGAACTGAGGGTAAATATCAAAATGTATACTTGTCTACTATTATATTAATTGTGAATATTCTCATTGTTTGTTTTTAAGCTTTTTCATTTAACATATTTTAATTTCTTATGAAGCGCAGGATATTTTAAAACGCATGGTTTTGTTCTGCAAGGCTGCTGTGGAGGTATAATTTCTGGACACATCACTTAAATCTTTACTGATGGATCCCTGTTGGCAGATGTCAGTCTTACTATCTTGTCACACTTGTAGAACAAATAATATATTACCAGAAGCCATAGCATATCCTAGGTATTAGGTCTCATTAAGCATGTGTTAGCAGACCATCTATATTATCTGGAATATAGGTTTTATGATTCCTTGCATATTAATTTTTGTTTCATTAGACAGTTGTTGCAAGAAGAGTTTTATTAATAAGATCAAATAGCAACTTATACAATGAGAGGCTTCCCATAGAGGGGCACGAGATGCAGCCTCAATTACATTACAAATGAGATTACAATTGAGCCCAAAACAAATGCTCCCTATGTACCCAAACGTAGCTAAGTAATCAGCTATCTCATTGGCCAATCTCCTTTGCCAAAGGACCCTTACAGTCATGTTTGCAACTAACCATTTAAACTTTTCACAGATTCCCTGTAAGTCCAAAAATAGTTTCTGGATCTGTCAGTCATCCAACGCTTTGAGCCCCCTCCAATTATCAATCTGTCCATGTTCAGCTCTCTAGCAAACTGTGCTCCTTGCAATACGGTTTGCAACTCAGCATGTATGGAGTCTCCCACTCCTACAGAACCTGAATACAAAGAAATTATTTGCCTTTCTGCATTCTTAAACATGCCCCAATTCCTGAAGGCCCAGGATTTTCAAGGCTGCTTCCATCAAAATTTAGCTTTATGAACCGTGCTTCAGGAGGGTACCCAAGTAGAACAAGGCCTAACCTTAATCTCTAAACTTTTTGCTATAGATTCCCAATTCTTCTAGATATCACCAAATAAGAACTGAGGAAATAAATCCACAGTTTTGGCCCAATGTATAGTCCTACTTAAGATGCATTCCCAAATAACCTCATCACTCCTTTCCTTGTCGTTAAAGATTCTGGTACTTCCCTCATCCCATACTATCCAAACCACTACAACCCTAGCACATCTGATCTCCATAAAATCCTGCCCTTCCTTTTCAACCATCTGAATGTTGTAGGGTCAAAAAGGCTACTGACCTGCAAATGCAAAGATCATCTGCAACCAAAAAGTACAAATAACCTTTTCCAAGGGCCTGCAACAAGTGGGTAGGAGATTAGAAAGTGGTAACGATTCTCACCGTTAGCTTTATATAGGATACACCCATTACAGGAGAGGCCTTGTTCAAAGAGGTTTTCTAAAAAAAAATTCCTTTTTCAAGGCATTTTCAGTAACTTATCTGCAGCAAGGGTGTGAAAGTCACACCAGATCCATTTTAAGGAGAGAGGAATACTAAAACCCAGATGCTAGCAAAGAACTCTTAATAATACCATAAAAGTAATTTAAACTTCAATAGAAAGATGCCTCCTCTTCAAACCAATGAGATTAAAGTCCATTCTTTCAATGGCCAGCTCCTGAGCTTGCTCTAAATCTTGCTTTATGCTTAGAGGAAAAGCCACTGTGCACCCCATGATTACCACATATAACTCAAGGAGATGGAGTTCATAATAACCAAATCTTAACGTTGTACCTTATCAGATGATGATAGTAAGGCCAGATACTGCATCAAAGCAGTGAAAAATGACCTAAGATTTCTGACTTTGGGAAGTAGAGTGACCAAGGAAAACCAAGGTGTCGTAAGAATTTTGAAGGTGAGAAATTAGAAATAATGGGGGAACCCTCCTTAATGAAGAGATTAAACAAAACCCACTTTTCTTTCCATTATCATGCTAAAAGTTTCCACAAAAAGAAAAAAAAAATGAGGGAGAAGGGTCCCATTGCCAAAGGCCCTTTTAACTTGTAAAAAGATCCCTAGAGGAACCATTGATGAGAAAAAAAGATAACTATACTAATGCAAACCTCAACCCTTTTTTTTTTTTTTTTTCATTTGGCTCCAAGGTCCATGAGGACCAAGACTGACAAGGAAACTCCAACCAATACAATCATAAACTTATTCTAAATCCATTTTGCACATGAGACTCACTGATCAAAAAAAAAAAAAAAAACACATGAGACCTCAGAATTCTGCTTCAGATAATGAGAATTCGAAAACTAACCTAAGATGTGCTCATCATCTAGGATTTGCCTCCCTTCTGCAAAATCTCCCTGGAAAGTTCTGACAAATTGTTAACTACACCTTTCACGTGACCTCTTCTTCTACCCATACTTTCTTAGGGATTAAAGAAATGAATGCAGCATTATGTACACTGTCCCAAATGCCACTATCAGACTTAATTATATCAGTTTTCAGAAATGTCCAACTGGCTATAAAGGATCATACGAAAGCTATTTGAACCTGGTGTTGTATCCCTTTCCATGTCATTAAGAGCCCTAGAACTTCCTTTTTTTTTCTTTTTTTGAAATAAGGTAACTTTCATTCAAAACAAAGGATGCATGAGGAGATGTCCAAATAGGGGTTTCCAAAAAAAAAGCCCACTCAATATAGAGGATAAGAATTTGCACTATACAACATATCCCTTCCCAATCTATTTTTATCTAAAGCATCTGTCAGAAGATTTAAACACCTAGGGATCCATTTGAAGCTGCATTGGATTGAATCTGAAATGTCATAATTCATAAAATATAATGTGCTTAAGACTTAAGAGTTAAGACATTAATCCATTCACCTTCGTACTTGTAGTTTGAAAAATATCAATCACTGAATTTGCTCCCAAATCATCTGGCACATCACGAAGGAGAGAAGATCCCATAGAATTCTTTCTTTCCCAGTGAAGCTATAAGCTGTCCCAGTAGGAATCAGTTCCATTGTGTTTTCTGGACTAACCCTTTCATGCCAAACTTCTATGACACCACACCTGAAGCACAAAAGGACAATGAAGAAGATGGGACACAAATCCTCCTCTCTTCGGTACATAGAGCACAACATTTTGGATTTCAGATTGCAGGAGATGAGATGATAAGTATGAGGGTTTTATCTAAGAAAGCTTCAGAACATGAAGAATGTAACTTCAGTTGGAATTTGGAAACTCCAAATGTATCTTGCAGGAAAGGCCCTTATGCCCAGTGAAAACATCATTGGGAATATACCACCAGTATCAAGACAACATTCCAAATTCCAAGTCATCCCGTTGGGAATAGAGAGGAAACTGCTTAGAATTCAATTTCCCAATTAACATTCCCTAACAATCATGAAATCATAGACTATCTCCACAGCAACCAATTCAATGAAACTTCATTGATTAAAAAAAAACATTGATGGCATCCTTATCAGCCACCAACTTGACTCAAGTTTAGCTTAAGAAAATCTTAATGTAATTGTGTCCATGCTTATGCATCCTGCCCATCTTAATTCTTTGATCATTACTGTCATTGAAAAGAATAAGCTTCTTAAAGTCTTCAGCTACCTTTTGAATGCTATTTGCACTTGACCATAATTTCCACCTGATTTGAATCCCAATCAAGATGGGTAGCCTCATATTATCAATCAGTGACTCTTCTGTAAGCTACAAATTTCTTAACAAAGCATCAAAACCATCTCCAAGAAATATCCTTCTTCATGATGCTAATAGGACATAGCCCAAGGCTCCCCTTCTTTCAGTTTGCAGACCAAATTCTACTATGCTAAAGGGAATTTCTTCTCATATGCTTCTCCATTGGAATTCTCTCTTCACTTAATCTTGTCTTCTGAGCACATTTTCCAATACATTAATGTTATATGTAGAAAGTGATTTACAATAATAGGTAAAACTTGAAGTGTATTTCATGATGTTTAATAAAGATATTGCTGTATGTAATACATGCAATTTGGTTGGAATTCTATTTGTTGACAAGGGGATGATGCCACTTGACTACATTCAAGGTCACAACCCATGCCTGTGGGTATTTCATGAATTTGACATCTTAAGTTGTTTTCAGGTTCCTTGGCATGTCCCATGTGGTGGGGTTTGCTATGGAGATGGAAATTTGGTTTTCATTGCAAATGATTGGCACACTGCATTATTACCAGTCTATCTGAAGGCATACTACCGTGATCATGGTGTGATGAAATATACCCGCTCCATTCTTGTGATTCACAATATAGCACACCAGGTTTGTTCTTGTTTGCTTAGGATTTGGTTATATAAGCTATACCTGATCAATACTAACTGTTCATATTTTGTTAAATTGAAAAGGTTGATCAACCTGATTCTTTCACATAACTTATTCTCTTGTATTTTCTTGGTCCAACACCCAAAATGTGAAATCAGAGTCAAAGTCCTTTTAAACACGGATGAGCTTTGGGTTCATCCTGGGAATATACAATCTAAAAGCACTCCATTTTATAATCAGGTTCATTGACCTGGGAAAACGTTTAAACTTCAGACCATCCTTCTTGTTAGTTTTACTGGGTTAAGAGAATGTAAACCCAGAAGAAAGGGAGGTTAATATGAAAAGAAAGGTCAGTTTGGTCTTTGGGGCTGGTTGGTTGGTTCAAGAATGATTTCTCCTAGTTTTAACTTTGAAGAACTTCAAAAGGTAATTATATTTTACATAAAGTTAAGAAAAACATAATTTATTTACTCAAGAATTTCTTGGAAAAAGGGAGTTTTTTTGAGAGAAAGGTAATGTATGAAAAGAAAACAAAACAAAATATACAAGGCCCTGATCAAAAAGAATTTGAAACAGGGGAAAAACTGAGAAGCTGATTGCACTGCAGATATAGATAAAAAAAAATCCTTGAATAAAAAAAAAGAGTTGAAAGGTAAATCCTTTAGCTGTCTGTGAACTGCAGCCCATGAGTATATTCTGCCCGATAAGCCTTTTAATATTGTATCTACTGTATTGTGTTTATTTTAAAAAATTCTCCTATTTCTCTCCGTCCATAAAGACCGAATCACTGCTGTCGGAATTACTTCTCACAAGACTTTCCCTTTCTTGGACCCTTTAACTTCCAGCACCACAATAGAGATTTCAGGTCGTTTGGAAAACAAAAATTAACATTGAACAGCCCCAAAGCTTTCCCCCCAACCCATTCTTGCAAGCTTGCAGTGGATGCATAAATGCCTCTGCATCCTCTGAGGCTGTCCCACACGTGCAACATCTGCTTGGCTCCATACCTCCACCATCATTTCCCCATTTCCCCTTTTAGCAAGCAAAGGTCAGTTTGGTCTTTAGGGTTGGTTCAAGAATTATTTCTCCTATTTTTATTTATTTATTTATTGAAGAGGGGCCCCAAAAAACACAGATGGACCACAGTACCACACAAAGCAAGGACCAAAGTCACTTGGCTTAACCACCCTACAACACCCACAGTATACTGTAAACAGAGCACAAACTAAAGCATAACACAGAAACAAAATAAACAAAACCATTTCTCCTGTTTTTAATTTTTAAGAACTTAATAAGTAATTATATTTTCACATAAAGTTAAGAAAAGTATAATTTATTTATTCTGTGTTACTTTATTTTGATAAGTAAGATTATTAATTCATTCAACTACTTTAAAACAGAAAAATTTACAATCAACTCCTCCCAAAAAAAATAGTGCTATCTAATTTCTTGTAAGAAAAAAATTGAGATCAAAATTGCTTGATTAATGCCTCCATGTGAGTAGGGTTATCAGTTTCAGATGTCAGTAACCAAATTCTTGATTAAAAGATCCTGGAGTGAGCTGAGTGATGCCCAGGACAATGAAGAGGTATTTGCTTGGTCCCTTCGCTCCTGTTGCAATTATTTGGACTCTGGCTTGGGAGGATTAGAAGGGTTTTCTGTAATAAAAGAAAGAATGTGGATGAGCTGATTAAGCAATCTGAATCTCTAGGAAGAGTAGGGTCGTGGGTCTCTTTGTCTAAGGAGTTTCAGGGTCTATCTGTGAGGGGGTTGTTGCATGATGTAGTCTTCTGGGGGTCTTGATCCTTTCCAGCAGGGATTTTCCTCTGCTGGCTTGTTGTACTTTATGTTTTTCTTTTTCTGGAATAAATTTCCTTGCCTTTTCTCAAAAAAAAAAAAAGAGATTGCCAGTTTATAAACTAAAAGCTTGATATAGATTTAATGAGAACCTCTGAAAATTTTGGATCTTGAATTTGGTTGAGGTTGAACACCAATCAAATAAAGTACGCCTGTGAAGATTTTCTGAGTATTTTATTGCAGTTTTTATGGCCTGATAAATATGTATACATACATACACATACACACACACACACACACGCACACACACATTTATTGGGTCATTTTGTCGTTCAATTTCTTTCAACTGACAAAACAACCAAGTCACTTCACATTGACTAGGGGCTGTGAATGGTTATTAGCCTGATTCTATAGATGATCAAATTTGAGTAAAGGTGGTTGGGTGGAACTTAGGCTGCCTTTGGTTTGATAGAAAATAAGAGAAACAGAAAGTTGAGGTCATGTTCTTTGGAATTTTTGTGAAATTACTTGAGAAATTTCCCCCAACTTTCTATTCCTCTCTTGTTTTTCTATCAAAACAAACACAGAATTGATGAATTCTGATGATTGGTACTTGAAGTATTTGACTGGAAAAGGGAAGGTTCAATCTAGCATATTATACTCAAAGCTAGAGGTACATGCAACTCTTGGGCTGTGTTTGGTTTGAAGGAAAAAGTAGGGAAAGGAAGGGAAAGGTAGGGAAACCTTTACAAAACATGTATCGGTTTCCCTACCTTTCCCTTCCTTTCCCTACTTTTTCCCTCAAACCAAACATAGCCTTAGTGTCAGACTCAATCCATTGCATTAGTGCTATGTTGCCCATATATAGCAAGGGCATGGCTGGACAAGGTGTTGGATACGGAACCATTGTATAGGTATCCAAGTATCATAGCATCACTATATCACGAGTAAGGTCAATAATTCCCTTGCATAAACAAAAGCCTCTCCCAGTCAAGTACTGATCTATATTTTTCATCCAGGGTCGTGGTCCAGTAGATGATTTTCATTATGTGGATCTTCCAGAAGACTACCTAGACCATTTCAAATTGTATGACCCTATTGGCGGTGAACACTTCAATATCTTCGCAGCTGGTTTGAAAGCAGCAGATCGTGTAGTTACTGTGAGCCATGGTTATTCCTGGGAGCTGAAAACTTCAGAAGGTGGTTGGGGTCTCCATCAAATCATAAATGAGAATGATTGGAAACTAAGGGGCATCGTGAATGGGATTGATATGAAAGAGTGGAGCCCACTGTTTGATGTTCACCTTACATCTGATGGCTACACTAATTACTCCTTGGAGACTCTACAGACTGGAAAGCCCCAGTGCAAGGCAGCTCTACAAAAGGAGCTTGGCCTTCCCGTTCGTGAGAATGTCCCTCTGATTGGATTCATTGGAAGGCTGGACCATCAGAAAGGTGTTGATCTCATTGCCGAGGCTATTCCTTGGATGGTGGGCCAGGATGTCCAGCTAGTCATGTTGGGTACTGGGAGACCTGACCTGGAACAGATGCTCAGACAATTTGAGAGCCAACACCATGACAAAGTCCGGGGTTGGGTTGGTTTCTCTGTGAAAACAGCTCACCGGATAACTGCAGGTGCAGACATCCTGCTCATGCCTTCTAGATTTGAACCTTGTGGACTGAACCAGCTTTATGCAATGAACTATGGGACAGTTCCTGTAGTACATGCTGTTGGAGGACTGGGAGATACTGTGCAGCAGTTTGATCCATTCAATGAGACAGGGTTTGGCTGGACGTTTGACAGGGCAGAAGCACATAAACTGATACACACACTAGGGAACTGCTTGCTTACTTATCGGGAGTACAAGAAGAGCTGGGAAGGGATCCAAAGACGTGGAATGATGCAAGACCTAAGCTGGGACAATGCTGCTCAGAAGTACGAGGAAGTTCTTGTTGCTGCAAAGTATCAGTGGTGATTCTTTGAACATAAGAGCTGCAGTTTCAAGTTTATGGGACTTCTATTTTTCTTTTAGGTCAATATATCTGGAGACAATATATGCTTGAAGCCTCGTGCTTCTTCCAAGAGAGATGCAGATGATGGTTTCTTGGTGAATGCTGCACACTATTTCTTTCTCATGCTGTTCTAAAATAACACGAAGGCAAAGGCACCTCTATTGCAAGGACCACTCACTGAGTTAAAAACACCTGCAGAAAATCCAGTTGCTTTCCTAGTTCATTTGTGATGAGCAACAGCATGACAAACCTCTATGCCCGGCTGTTAAACTCCTACAACTGTAATTTTTTGTTATTTTGTGAATGTATTATCTTTGGTCCATAGTTTGATACACGTTGCACAATTATTGTTTGTTGATTGTCAATGATACATATTTCAGTATTTTCTGTGGGTTAAGATGTTGATTTGCGTTGTGATCCAGTGTTTCTTATCACTTATAAACCAAGGAGAAGATAAGATGACTTCTGTCTTACACTGATTGCTTGTTCCTTTATTGGTGATAAAGATATTTAATGAAAATAAAATTAAATGAATGCATTGCAAGTTCAGCCATATACTTAAAGGGATGAAGTTCCTGAATTTCAAATTAATGCATGGACTATCCAGGGCGATCAATGAACAGAAAGATGGTATAAGAGGAATGCAAATAGTGAATGTAGCTAGCATGCACCTAGACGATGCCTAAACTGGTTTCTGTATCAGTAAGCCATGTAGCTCAAGTAATATGATTTAGGTTTTGACCATTTATTTATTGGACTCACTAGAGTAAGAAGAATATGGCTTAAGATTTGGGACTTTGAGTGTGTCAACACTCAACACCTGCTTCCAGCTGGCAAGATGGTGGGCATTTGCATTGCGAAGGGATCCTCAATGCTTATAATGTTCTCGGTTGCGATCTCATCTGGGTAGAGTTGTCGTGGGTCGGTCCGTCGGAGATCCTCTTAATTTTAGATATCCAGATTATATGAAGTTGTTATAAGTAGATCATAATAAACATGTATGGAATGTTGCCAAGTTTCTTATCATTGTTAGCTACTTGGGTCATAGTCAAGTTAGAATAGGCAAAACCAATGACAACCCTATTGTAATGGGTACTCAAAATGCAGACCCAGAACTGAGAACCGACCATATCAATAATTTAAACTTCGTCTGAGACCCTGTGCAATCGGTTTGGTTCTCTTTGGTTCATCTGGACATTGACAGCCCTACTGTTTTGTAATTTTATTTTCTTTTTTTTTACAATTTCAATATATTTTAAAAACTTTATTATTAGGATGAACCTACCAATCAACATCATGACAACCAACAATGGAGATTCACCTGAGGCCCACAGCCCCATTGATGTAACCATAATAATGCACTAGACACTGACACGTGGTACTGCCCTATCATTCTGCACTCGTCCGAGGGCAACAGGGTGGTAATTCCCAGACACGCTATTGTGGAGCATTTATTACAGGTGCGACGTTTTCGGACATTTACTCCCGACGACACACTTAAGGGGTGGTGTGGTAGTGATCGGCCGATGTCTCTTTGGCTGCCTTTTTTGTAGTAGGGGTGTTTCGAAAATTCGATTTTAAATTTTATATTTGATATAATCGAATTGAATTTGGATAATTTAAATATCTAATCAATGAAATTTGAATATGATTTGATTCAATTTGATAAATATCTGAACTCGATGATTATTTAAATCTTATATATAATATATAAAATATTTTATAAAATTTATATATATAATAATTAAGTTATATAAATAATTTATATATTTATATACTTTATATCGATAAAATATTTATTTTATATGTTTATTAATTATCTAAAATAATTAATTAATCAAATTCGAATTGAATTGAATATTCAAATATTTAATCGGATTCGAATTCGGATATTAATTTTCAATATCCGTCGGATATCGAATCGAATTTGGATATTGTCTGATCCAATTCGAATTTGATCCATTTATACCCCAATTTGTAATCACAATTTACGGAGCAGTTACTTGCTACTTATCACTCTCTCGGGCGATTCCGACTATAAAAGGAGCATCACAGCCTAAATGTACACTTACACATACTCGAATTAGTCATTACTCTCTTGTTGTGACTTCGGCTAACTTGACTATCAGAGTCCTTACCCCTAGTAATACTCCCAAGGCTTCTGACATCAATTCACTTTTAAATAATCCAATCTCCAAGTTAATTAGTTTGTAAAACATTTATTATACTGACAACAAACTCTCCATCTATGTTGTGGCATAACTTAACCGAGCGCATGTCCATTTAGATTTTAGAGGATCCCAGAACACATCCCCTATATGCGTAGTGAACATCTCTCATACTTATCATGGAGAAATAGGCGAAGAGGATGTGCTGTGAGGGGTTATTATGGGGGTGCCCATCTGAACTCGTCTCCTGAAAACAAAAACTGTGTGAACATGGGCATCCAGGGTGTTATTCATTGAGAGTATATCCTATGCTTGTATGTTAAATTTATAGATAGATATTCTAGATATGTGATTGAAATCCATTCTCTCAGGGTGTTCGTATGGTTTTTGCTTCGAGGAGATCCCATCTCGCAGTGCGTTTTAGTGAAAACAATTCATGCAACATATATAGATAACAACAACACACATATAATATAGATAGAAAAGAGAGAGAGATACGTTGTCTCTGGTGGTGGTGGATATCTCTTCCGTCCTTGGATCCATACAGAGAGAGAAAGAGGTGCCATTTATACAAATACGGACCACACCACACCATACCACAAATATAAGCCAAAAACTATTGAGTGTTTGGGATTTGTGCTTTTGAACTTTAAAAGCACGAATCTTGAAACTAAAGACCAATAGCACTACAACTTTACTGGTCTACTACCATATATTGTGCATTGTTTAGAGTTATAAATTACCTTCTACCAAACAGAGTAATACCCGATTCACCCATGTTCAAGGGTATTCATGATGCAGTTACATATGGGGTTTGTTTTTCAAAGTGTTTCATATGATAAAAGTGATAAGGGAGAAATCTTAGCCTCTCACTTCACTCACTTGGGGTTGAATGGGATGCATGCCAATTCAAAAGGGGAGGGGGGGGGGGTCATAGTTCATATCATATAATAGGTTTAATTAATAAATTTTAAGGTCCTTATTGGTAAAAAGACTAAGATTCCAATCTAAAGGATTGGTAATTTAAGATTCAAATCTAATAACAAGTATCATTTTATTGCTGTCATGGTTTGAACTTTGAATTCTTCAACATAGATCTTTCAATTGTCCAACGGTCCGTTCAATTAGAGATGTAAATTGGGCTATGCTGGGTCAGTATAACATGGCCCACGTGCAGTCTGTGCAAAGTATGAGTTGTGCCATACCAGGCCATGCTTCCCTTTCCTGGGATACTTCGAAGGTTGGCCCAACATGATCCATGCCCCACTGCCTGTGCAAAGTATCCCTCCCCTGGGATACTTTTAGCATCACAACGTCACTCAGTTCAAAATATCTGTTGCAGAACTGATACATGTGATGATAATTTATTTTTCCACTAGGTTTTATTTCTCTCCATTTTCTATATTTTTATGTGATTTGATATTATTATGAAATTTATAATATATTTTTATAATTTTTTAGATTTTTCATGTAATTTTAATGTTTCATTCAGTTTGGATCGAATTGAACACAATCCAATTGGTTAATGGGTTAGTCGTGTTGATGGAGACTTTGAGGTGGGGACAGTATGTGAGGTTAAATAGGCAATGGCCCATTTGGCATAGCACATATTCAAACCTGTTTTATTATGCTACTGAGGTCGAGATTTTACATTGCATTAAATTTTTGCCGGCTATGACAATTGCAGCATTTGTTTGCTTGTGACGCCAAAGGGTGTCAATGGATCGGTTTTGGATTGGACCCGTCCAGTCCAACGAAAACTTTTAATTGGGAGAAAACCATTGGTAGCCCTATTAATATAACCATTGGTAGGATAAATTTGATTGTGTTAGATAGAGCCATCCCCTTGACAGCCCTACTATATATTAGAAGCAATGTGCTATCCGCTTTGAGGTGAGAGGACAGTACAGGGTTTATGTGAAGTTAAATAGGCAATGGCCCATTTTCCATACCACTGCTTGAAACCTGTTTTAATTATTATGCAAATGAGCTCGAGATTCTATATTGCACTAAAATAATGGAATTCATATCTGTGGCCTGGTACAGCTGCAGCATTTGCCCGTAACCCCTCCATGTGCACATGACATGATGCCCTTCTGTTTTAAATTCAAAATGCCATATCCATCTCTGATGGGCACTTTCTATACGTATTTCATTGGAAAAAGCATGGTATCCTTTTGTGACCTCTAATGGGCACTTTCTTGTGACCCCAATGGACACAGGATACCCTTTTGGCTTTTGTGACCCCTAATGGGCACTTTCTTGTGACCCCAATGGACGCAGGATACCCTTTAATTTGGCTTTTGTGACCCCAATGGATTCAGTTTTCACAAGACCACGGCCACTCCTCCTATTTGTATGTTTTAATTCATAGAGTAGGTAAGTCCAATTTCAAGAGTCATTTATCATGTGTGGGTCCCATCTATTTGAGATTTTGGAAGGAGTAAATTAAATATGAACCTTACACTTACACTAGTTATTTTTGACAAGGCACAATCTACCATTAAAGACCCAGTTGGTGGTAATAAAAACTTTAAGGTGGGGGAGATTGATAAGAGAACTATTAAGTCTATTTTGGAACAAAAAAAATAAAAAAATTGCAACCATGCCCTTTCACATTTTTCATTTGTTTTAAGAGATCATTTGGCCATTCTCAAACAGAAATACAAAGTGTACCTAAGGGAAGGTTGGTATAGATTATAGGAAGTGCTTTAGTAATAAGGCTCAGTTTAGAAAGAATATAAATATAAATACAAAATTTTGTACTCTATATATTTGTATTTGTACTCCTTTCATATACTGAGCCTAAATCCTAATATGCAAACTAGAACGTAGGTTTGAGTAATTCTGTAAAACTAGAGGGGACTCTAGGTAAATGGCCCAATAAAATTATTTTAAAAAAAAAAAACACCTGTCATTAGCGGGATGGTTTTGGTGTTAATAAACTTGCGTGGGAATAGTGGTGGAGACTGGAGAGTGAAGGGTGTGCTAGAGGTTAATGCATGGACAATACTTGTATATTCAAATTAATCTATTTTATTATGCTTACTATTAAAACAAAACCTATTTCATTATGGTTGTGATCGAGTTCAACATATTTGGTTTTTATTTAGGGGGTGTTTATTAATGTAAATGGTTTTGTTCTTATCATGTTAATAAAAATAATATATTTTACGGAGAAGTATGGGCAGACCCAATGCAGATTTCTAAATATTACTGTTGAGCTATAAATATTCAAAATGTCAAAAACCCTCATTCTATGCATCAATA